GATGGAATTGATGATCAAAAGATGAAATCAAGTCACATCAGATTTTTCCAATCGTCTATTGTCCAGTTTTAGTGAGTTTATGTGAACTGTAGCCTGAGTTTCTTGTTCTTAGCTAACAGAAGGGGCACCAGTTGTGGTCTTCTGCTTCTCGACTGCTTCTTCGAGTCGAGAGTGTCTTGTTTCTGACTGTTTCTGAACCCCGGAGATAGTTGTGCAGGAAAATCCCAGCAGATCAGCAGTTTCTGATATCCATGCTACATTCAAATTCACTCACGTGAACTTCCTTTCCATTTGAACTACACCAAGTCATCTTAACCATGTTGCCATGACTAAATGAAGTTGCTGCTAGATGCCTGATTAGACATTTACATTTATGAGCAATTGAACATGTTTACTTAAAGCATAAGCCTGCAAAGCAGCTTTACCCAGCAGTTTTGCAACCATACACCGATGGTCATTTAGAGCATCACCACTACCCACATTCAGTCATCTTCACTATCACACGCTTTCAGTCCTCCGAGGCTACCTGTTGTCCATCTATCCATGAGAGAACCCTGACCTTCAGGTGAATGAATGGGACCTTGTGTAGCAGCAATGAAATAGAAGAGCATGGTGAACTGAGCGACACTCATAAAAGAAATGGATCTAAGAGTGATGGTGAGTGAGAAAGATGGGAGTCTGTTTTCAATTCACTGTCTCGCTCATGTTGAGAGGATAATCAGTTCAGATGATACCAAAAGCTTCTAATTTTCTCATTATTATGGCTGCCAATTAAGATTAATACTGGAAGCTTGCTATCAGCTTTCAAAACATTAAAAAAAAAATTTTTTTTGGAGGGGGGGTTAGTTTCTTTTTTTAATGCCTTCAAACATTTTCTACCTCACACATTGATACTCTGATGGCTGAATCAGGGCAATTTTAGAGTTCAGTTACTGGCCAAAGCACATTTTACATGCAGACCAGAGCAGCTGGGGATCAAACCTCTGACCTTGTGCTCTACCTCTTGAACCACAGCCACACTGTAGCCAAATCCACCACAGACAAATAGCGTGTGGGGAAAAAATGTACTGATGGCCGCCAGCACTACCCCTGACCCTTCTAGTAGTTGCACCTATAATATATATTTGAAAATCAAAGCTTACTTCCTTCTTGAGTTAATAAAACTTGACCTCTGACCTTGACCTTGAGGCCAAGGTCACCAAGGTTCAACCTCATTTGAGATTTTTTATAGATACACTTATGGTATCCATTTGAAAATCCTTGTAGACATATTTATCAAGTTTTTGTGTCCACAAATTTTAGTGTCCACTCTGTCTACCCACCCACCCGGTGTGGTGCCGACAATACCCAATCACCTTTTTATGACTAAGGGATAATAAAAAAAAGAAAAGAAAAACAACAACAAAAAAAGAAAAAATGACTCTCATATGGTTATTAAAAAGCTTTACTATGGTGACACACACATAGGCTCACACTGTCATTAGTATTATACAGCCCACTTTGTTATCAGCTTTAGGACTCAAAGTAGGAAAGATTAAACCATTGTCTTCTTACAACGTAACCACTTCGCACTCTTTAAGTAGCGCTCGCTGTTCTTATTAGTTTTACTGTTTAGTTTTATGACATGATCCATACATCTAACGCTTGACAAGTAAGAAAAAATATTCCTCCAGATTTGCTGTGTGTGGTGAAGCATGGAAATGCTCACTGAACTTGGAAATGGGTTTTGCTCTCCAGTCTGACTTCTGCCCACACCGCCTCCCTCTGCTAATAAAGAAGCGCTTAGCCTCACAAGCCTCGTTCATTCACTGCCGAGATGAAGATGTAGATTAAGGTGTATACCTGCATGTAAAGAACTGATTACTGCTGAAGTGTCAGCGGTAATGAAGAAGCCACTTAAAGGAAAATCCCACTTGGTGACATCAGTCTAAAAAACAGAAATCAACTGTGAAGATCTTTGGGGTATGGGCTATGCTTATGCTGGTATCAGGTTTTTGGGGCTGTAATGATGTGCAGAATTATCTGTTCTTTAGTGGGGCTTCATCATTCATTTAGAGACTGAACGCCATAAGCTGAAGAGACGAAGGAGATATGGCATCAAGAAAAAACTGAGTTTAAGACACCACTTCTGCATCGGCAGAGTAGCGCAATACCCTGCAGGTGTCATTTTCACAGCCTCTTGTCACTGAGCAGATTTATACACATGCACACAAGCACAACAGGTCTGGCACTATGAGTAAAGTGAGAAGCCCTGAGGAATCTCCCTTCTCGCTTGTTTTTCATGCATAAAACAAGGTTGCAGAAATAGTTTTTCAGCACTCAGACACTTCAGGACATATTCAGTCTCTGAGGGTGGAGGGAACACCACCGCTCAGTTCCCTTTCAAGCAGAACGCTGACCCCAAGTGTCCTGAACTTTCACTCTTTTATTACAGAAGAAAGTAAAAGTTGCTTCAGACCACATGACTGGGTGCATTTCAATGTAAACACCAGCACAGAGGAGGGAAATGAGCCTGCTGACATATGACAAAGGGATGGCTGTTTTAAATCTTATTTTTGTACAAGTGAGAAAAGTTTCCAGTCTGGCAACAAAAACAACTTGGTTAGATTTGGAAGAAGATCTCAGGGTTTGGGTTAAAACACACATTTTCAAGAAAAGTAACCTCACTGGCAGGATCTTTAACATCTTACAGAGCCCGTCTGGCAGAAAGCATCAAAGGCAAACTTGAACCAATTTTGTGCACAGCCAAAACTTCATCTAAAAGAGGCCACAGCAACTTTTTCCCCCAAAAAGACTGTGAGACAAACTTAAATAAAGTAAGTGAAAGACAAATTAACGACTAAATGAAAACATGGTTCAGGTGTCTGTGAAATATTACTTTAGAACATAAAGAAATCCAACTGAACTGAGATTTAAATCAGCCTACATTTTCCTTAGCTGCCATCTGGCTGATATCCACTCCTGCAAAGGTTGCTAATGAACCTCACTGCATAGGAACAGAGTTAAATAGCAGCTCTTTAAAGTCATTCACAGAATTGTGTCAGGCTGAATAACTGCATAATGCTGCCTCTTACACCTTTCAGGCCACTGTAAACATGAGTGAGATACTCTGCTGGCCAATTTCGGCTTATATTTTGCTCACGTGTTCCTGAAGCAAGCCTTTCCACTCAGCAGCCATCTCTGAAATACTTCCAGGTAGGGTTGCGCCATATCATACCATTCACGGTAATACCGGTATAATGTTGGGCAACGATAAGAAAATTAAATATTGCGATAGAATATGGGTAAAACGCGCATGCGCAGTGCCTTTGTTTTCATACACACATGGCAGAAAAAGCATGGCGGCGACGGAGAATGAGGAGAACTGGTTTGTAAAAATGCTGCAACTTCAGTGGTGTGGAACTGGTTTAGCTTTCGTCCGTCAGATATACAACAAAGCACTATTTTTGGTAGAGCATGCTAGTGGGCCGTCGTTATTACCGTGTTTTTTGGAAAATACGGCACACTTAAAATCAATCCTTTGACACTTAAAATCACTTATAATGCCCCTTATAATCCCGTGTGCCTTATGTATGAATTCTGGTTGTGTTTACTGACCTCGAAACGATTTTATGTGGTACACACCGCTCGAAAATCTGTCAAATGTTTTAGTATGACTTTGCTAAGCTACGAAGCCGCACCGCTTGAACTGTCAGCAAGGAATTTGCATTTGCATTTGCATTTGCATTTGCACTGTAACTTTAATGCACAAAAAACAGCTGCTTGTTTAAGTGAAAATACACTGATGTTTTGTTTTTGTTTTTTTGCACTAATAAAGTTGTGGAGTTTAAAGTATTTTGTCTAGTGTCAATTATATCGTCAGTTATATCGTTATCGCAAATTTTCAAATGTATATCGTGATAAATATTTTTAATCATATCGCTCTGCTCTACTTCCAGGCAGTTATTTCGAAGCCGTTCGGTCACACTGACATAAAAACAGCAGTAAAATCTGGTTGGTTTTTATTAAAATTGCACTTCTACTACACTTGCACATAGTTTCACAACATTACAGCTTCATTAAGAGAAAGAAATTCAGAATGCAGACAGGATCTGTGCTTATCCAACCAGAACACTGAACAAATGCTGCGCTAATTTGCACTGTGGATTTAATATGCAAAGAAAAAGTAAAACAAAGTATGTTTAATAAACTATAAAGGGGAGACAGTCATGGCTGCCACCACACAGCTGAAAGTAGTGTAAGGCTGTAATGTTCGCATGTGTCAGCATAACAACCAGATTGGTTGATATGTTTTCCCATTTTGTCTGTTGATGGCTCGCTGGAAGCAGATAGCCAACCATCATTAGCACTTCAGAATTCTCCCATAGATTTCTAATCATGATTTGCTGAATGCCACTGGTCTCTAGTAAAGTCCAGAAGGCTGTGGTACTGCAGAAGACTGACTGGTCACAAATTTTGGTGGTGTAAGCCACAAACCTAAAGTACCAGCACCAAAGTAAGGACATTAGGGGGTGACTCCAGAACTTAATTCAGGCCCTGGTCCCTGCCGTAATTCCTCTAAAGGTTCTTTGTCTATAAGCAAATTCCCTGCTCAACCCTTTAATAATACAACAGCTTTCAGAACTGTTAATAGTGAAAAGGCGCTACAGAAGACAAGATCCAAGAACAACAACACAGAAGTTAATCTTCCACCCATAGGAAGGCTGGAAGCAAATCAATCAAACTAGATGACGGAGCAATGGTACTCAAACGAAGAACTTATTCACCCTGCCATATGGGAGGCATCTAACTGCACCAGCTATTAAAGGGGATAATGCCAAAGATTTTGAGCACATGAAAACATTAATTCATTCAGTCTCCACTCTACCATCTGTTTCATCAATCAGACTACAGGCTGAGATTCCCCAAAGACACCCCGAAGTTTCATTCAGTGCAGAGGTGGCGGAAAAATAAATAAATAAATAAAAGCAAAGCGCAGGAAGGTTTATTTCTCTACTTACCTCTTTTCCAGACAAGTAGTAGGCGGACAGCAGACCTCCAACAAATCTGATGTTCACCTCAAACACCGACACTTCTGCATTCTGCGGCAAAGACAAAAGAAAATAAATATGAGACAAAATATAACTGCTAACTACTCATGAATACACATTTCTTCTCCCACAAACAGTGAGTTAAGAAAGCAGAAAACTCAAAACTTGACCTCAGGGAGGAGTAGACAGAGGTGGGCTTTTCACAGTCTAGACAGATATTTTCAGGCTGATGCTGTAAACAGCTAAATAAATTTGAATACCAGGTTTCTCCGTGCTGCTACGAATGACCTAGTAGCCAAATGAGTGTGTTAGAACTGAGCCAGGATGAATGAAAGAGAAAGTGGCTTATCCCACAAAGTGTTTGCATGAAAGCATCTGCTCAGGAGGCGTGCAAGTACGCCGCATGAGTAGGGTTGTGGAAATCTTGTGAGATCAGGTTCACTCGTGCAGGGAAGACAATCAGGAAACCTGCGCAGGACCACTTGGCAAGCACGATTGGCCAAGGACAAAAGAGGACTGTTACACCGGTTGACATATGTAATGATGCAATAACAAGGAGCATTTATACTGAAGCAAATCATGTGTGCCGCATGCTCCTTTCCATGCGTCACTCCTTGAATACACAACATTAGGTATGTGGCAGGTTTTATAAAGGCGTTAAGGCATGTTAACTATTCGAGGCAAGCTCAGAAAAGGGAAGAACTCGGTTTCTCCAGATTGGGGGTGGGGTGGGGTGACTCTGGTAAGTGATCTCTGACAGACCAAGAAGAAGGAAATTCCCTCACTAAAAGTTTCAGAAGTTTTGAATAACTAGGGTTAGCCATGCTTTGTGTATGGCTAAGGATGGTACATTAAAGAAGGGATCTACCGAATGTTTTTAGTTGAGAACCAGCACCAAATTTTCCAAACCATCTGAAACATATTGTTCCCGGGCAGCAATCCAGAAACCCTCACAGTATGTTTACAGCTTGGTACAAAAATGTCTTTGATCTCTGCAGGTAATTTCCCCATGACTGTTAAATGTCATCCAGTTGGGTAGTGGACACTCTGTCTGACAGGTGTGCTCAAATGTAGCCAACAGCCTGGAGTCACACCTCTCCTTTCTATTTTGGAGCATTTTAACAGGATTATCGGTCCAACATTACGGTCCCCTGTGGGCAGGCCATCCAAGATGTTGCTTTAGTGTTTAGTGAGCAAAACTGATATTAAAAAAAAGACACTTCCTGAAGTCTTTCAGGACCATTCTTTAGTTAGCTCTGACTGGCTGGATGTGGGAACAGAACGATCATCAATCTGCCCATAGATCAACTTTGATTTTAACGTTATGTGTTTGGGGAATCTGCCAACTGTACTCAAAAAAAACCAGACAGACATTTGAAAACTGCAGCTGAGAAAGCAATGACTAAGGAATGGTTAACTGAAAACTTTCCAACAATCACTGGAATGGACAAAAATTGTTCAGTAGGTCCAAGACAGAACAACTAATCTCTCTGACACTAAAAACGACCCTATTCAGAAGATACTGGGGAAAACAGAAATCACATCTAATGGTAAAGTCTAATAGTAATGGCGATATTTGTCTATTTTTATGACTATTATACTTTTTTCTGTTAAAGAACAATCAGCAAAACGCTGGAATTGAATAAGCATTAGAAATGTATCCATAGAGATGGATCATGAAGAGTTTTTTATATAAAATAAACAATGTTAGACAAAAATTTTAATTAAGTATTATTTGAATGTCATTGCTCTGATGAGTGATGAGTCTTAGTATTGTTAAATTCAAACAAATTAGCTATAAAACACAAGATAAATACTAGTCTAGTATGCAAGCATTACTTTTTTAAATGTATGACACACAGTTGTGTGACTTTTTAAAGAACTACCTGGTTAATAATATGTAATCCTTTGTTATAGTTTATGCAAAGGTAGACATCCCTTAAGGTATGTGTGAAAATTTGAGTTATTCTGACCATTGGTTCATCAGCATATTTTTAAGTTTGACAGGAAAAAACAAAGAATGCTGATAAAGCACTGCATACCTTGAAGGGCACACGTACGGCAGCCTGAAAAAGAGAAGTGACTTCCAAAGTTTTTAAAGAAATCTTTAGGTACCAAAAACCGCCTTAAAAGCCGGAGATAAAGTGTGCCGTCTTTAAAAACACAATACATCTATTTCTGGGCAGAATTAATGGAGGGAAAAATAACAAAAATTGTAAAGTTGTATAGCCATTTGTCTCAGTAGTCGAACAATGAAGCTTCATTTCTCTCTCACGTCCGTCCTTTATGAACAGATTCCCGAGGCGGATGAAGTTTTTGTGCTTGACTGACAGCTCTCATAAGTCACTGCTGTCGACTAGAGATAGGAAAACAGACTCTGCAAGGGGGAGGGGGGAAAAAAACAAATTATGTGCCACACAAAATGTGTCCTGTCTTTTTTTCATCCCCAAGTCTTAGTGACTGATTGAGTGGGGAGATTGCAGCACTAATTCGTTCTAATTACAATTTAATTATTTGTTTTAACACTTAGGCAGCTGTAATCCAAAAGTACAATGAATACTTCTTCCTACGTTTTAATGTCTATTGGCAGCGGAGGTTTAATAAGCTAAAAGATGATGCTTTACATCAAAGTCAAAATTTTAAAAAATACTTTAATTTAATTTTAAAGATGGAAACATCTTCAGCCAGCAGTCCTCCTGCAGTGTTTTGTGACTGTGTGAAGAAGCCAACACTGCTTTAAACTGCTGGACAATGACCCTCTGAGTCAGCAGCAGTGTGACGTTATCTCACTCCTGACAGAGCTGGCAGGCAGGTCAAGTCAAGTCTCCTGATGTTGCAACATTCGGTCCATTACACTCCGCACAGGAAACTGACTAAGCATGGGCTTTTCCAAGCAGAGAACTAATTAAGGACTGAAACAAGATGAGCCCAGGAGATAATGTTCCCAGCAACAACTCATCAGATCAAAGTGTATCCACAGATCTTGCGTGGCCAGTTGTAAAAAAAATAACTGTACCGGCCTATAACTCCCTTTATCTCATCACAAGAAATGTTGTTTCGGTGTTTTGTAATGAACAAACCGTCCCAAGAGTGTAACAATTCCAACTCTATTCCTCTTTGCCTTTCAAAAGATTCAGGACTTCGCTATTTAAGTGAAAATAAACCGTAATAAATTACCAGTGGGGCTCTTAAAGTCTCAAAGACTCTAAGTGAGGTGTCACACTTTCTCAGGTGTTGTGGTACAAGCAAACTTTGGACACCATTCCAGTCGCTACATACACAGATTGTGTGATCCCACAGTCAAGAGTAAAATCTATTGGTTTACAAAGGAGGGAGGATCTCTAAACGATGATCTGACATATGGCTCTTCAGGAAGAATTTCATTAATCAATCCATCTTCTTAACAGCTTATCCTAGTTTAAAGAAAAAAAGAGTATTCCAATCTTGCCAGATATTATTGCATGTGGTGCAAATTAGGGCTGCACGATTAATCGTTAGAAAATTGCGATCTCAATTCATACTTATGTGCGATCTCATTTCCAAATGACAACGATTAAAAAAAAAAAACAAAAAAAAACGACGACGACAATTGTACCGCATTTTGATCCGGGACGTAATCTGCATGAAAACAAGCACTCACTCTTCCTGCTCAACAAATGACAAGGGCGGAGCCTTATACCATGTGATACAGAAGCTGGCTGCTAAAATTGGCAGGGAAAAAACAACGGAGAACACGTCAGGGATGAGAGAAAATCCGTCCTGGTCAACCACCCAAACATCAATAACGGGAACCTTATACAGCGCTTCCCCATACCCGTCGAACTCCCGCAGGCACAAAGAAATTACGGAGGCTATTACTTATCACCTGACCAAAGACATGGCTCCCATCAACACTGTGCAAAACGAGGGATTTAGGAAAATGATCAACACCCTAGACAAACGCTACACAGTGCCGTCCCGCAACTATTTTTCTATTGTTGCACTACCTGCCCTATACACGCAGTGTCGAGCAACGGTGGAGACAGAATTTTAAGCAGTACAACATTTTGCGGCAACAACAAAATGTGAGACATTTGTTGTTTTTATGTTTATTTATTGTTTTTATGTTCAGTCTCAACTGCTAAGTTGATGTGCAGTTAATAAGCGCAATAAATATTTATACTGGAAAAGAAAATTGTGAGAGAATCGTGATCTCAATTCTAAGCAAAAAAAATTGTGATTCTCATTTTATGCAAAATCGTGCAGCCCTAGTGCAAATATAGTCATAGAAAAAAAACGGATGACTGGAGTACTGGAGAATACTGACTTTGCCTAATATTAGAGAAATATTTATGCTCTATGTACTTCATGTCCTCTTTGTACACATTTCAATGGCAAACGCTCATTAGTAATGGCATCACTTTAATATTAATAAGTCTCAAACAACTGCTATTATTTTCTTTGTTTTAATCTCTTTCACGTCTTTTCCTTGTTCCTTTGCTTCAAAAATGAGCAACCCAAACGTAAAGTTGAACCTTTTCTTCTGACTGTTGATACTCGTTTTCCTGCTTTGTTTCACCCCAAATGCTTAATTGTTGCTAATAATATGTGATGCCGGTTAGTGTTTTTCTTCAGTGAAATCTGGGTTGGTTTTTTGTCAGACTTACATCAGCTAACTCAGCTGACATTTTAACCCCAGTGAGGGTGGTTTCAAAGCCGCCTACAGAAAACTTCCCATTAAAAAGCATTTTAGTGGAATATCAAAAGCAGCTTTACATCTCGACATTATGCTACTGCAGGAAATGATCACAAAACAATGGGCTTCCTGCTGTTACAATGCCGTTTGACTGACAGCGCGACTGCTGGCAAATACTGGAAATCAGTAAGGATTATGCACAAAGCAGTGGTACCAAAAATTCAGACGTGGAAACCTCAACGAGTAAAACATCCACAACACGCACAGTTTCGGAGACAGTAATGAGGATTAAAGCTGATCTGAAGGAATAACTGACAACACTACTTGAGCTTTTATATATCATGTTTGGTGGATGTATGTTTTGGTTTTCAGAATTAGACTTCATAAATCTGATATCAGAACCATGCCAAAAGAAAGACAAAGAAACTGCTTTGCTGTTTCCCCCTAATGAGGAGCTCTTAACGGGGATGTTATAATAAGGACGGCAAACATCAAAGGAAGGAGGGAAAATGCTTGTGTTTAACTCTTTAACATGTGCCCACACAATTAATCAGCAAAAGCAGAAATTACATACAGTAGATGAGATATCCACGTCAGACTTTGTGTAAGAAATCTGCACTAGATCTGTAACTTTTAAGTGTAATCTTTTATTAGAATTATAAGCCCTTCCACGAGTGGTCATAACAGCTGAGGAGTTCTAGTTGACAGGATTTATATCTGATGAATCAATATTCCCCAGGTGGCAATTACGATCCCGTGTTCTTGCTCGCAACGTTCTACAAACTAAAGTTTAACATGTTCCTTTGTGTAAATGTATGTAAATACTGAGCAACTCATGCAGAAAGTGCTCTAAAAGCACTTTAATATTATTCACTGTTTGCTTTACATATTCACATACGCTCATTAGAAGTAAACTCCTGCACCATGAGCATACAATTACAAGTTGATGAATTTCCTGGATGTTTCCAGATGTTCAGGAGAGTCAAAGTGGCATAATTTTCAACAATTTTGGTAACACATTTATTGTTGGTAACGCATTTATTGTTGGTAACGCATTTATTGTATTGGGATCCATTATCAGCAGAGCTCTTTGGAACACCGGGTAATTGTTTCTAACCTTATAGACATCAGGAAATTACATTAGTCTATATATAATATCACTGAGGACACATTTCCTGCATTAAATACTGGAATGTCAGGAAGTTTAGAGCTTAGTATCTTTATTAAATTGTGTCTTATCCTTAAAATGAGCACAAGCCTATGTCTTAGCAATGAGGAAATGCACTTTAAATAAAACTAAACTGTTATTGCTGTTAAAAAAAAATGTGCATGCCACAGGCTGCTTCCTGTACAAAAACGTGGTAACATCTTTGGTTTAACGTCTTGATGCATTCTCAATCATACAGGAAAGCAAATCTCCAAAAGTTGATTCTGTTCATCTGGACGTAGCGTTTTGTGGGAGAAAGGTTTCGTCACTCATCTTCAGGAAGACTGAAGAAGTCATTTGGATGACGCTACGTCCAGAATCAACTTTTGGAGATCTTTGGTTTAAAATAAAGGGAAACTAATGCTTATGCACTGACTGTATATAAAAGACGGATATAGCCAGTTCCCCATCACCCCCTGGTGTCTAGGCTTAGCATCAGTGAATTTTTATTTACCCATTTAAATAGTATTAAGGCTTAAGTTCACAACACTATGGGCCTTAGCTTTGTGTAACACTTAAGTACTGAGCTAGTTACTATAGCTGTAGTCACTTCTCTGCTGCATTATATCCGCTCATTAAATTTGGTTTTGGGATCTCATTTGTGCTGTTGGTATTATGTGAATCATTTTTAGTACAACTTATTACAGGAGTATATTTAGGCCAATAAATCAACACTACACGCTCTCTTCCAAACGTGGTGTTTGTACCATTCATTTTTATATACAGTCTAAGATACATTCACAAGCAGGGTTCATCTAACATCCAAGTTAAGAGAGCAATAAAGAGTCCTCACTGTGATATGTATTTATACACCTGCTCACCTTTTCATGTATCTATATAAAGGTTAGATTTCATACATCAGTCATCATAGGCTGGATCACATTCATTCAAACTTCGAAAAAAACATGCCTTTCAAACTGGAAAGTAGCACCGTGTGACCTACAGGAAGTAATGACATGTTGTGCTATTTTTCATAAGCTCACAGTAAAACTTTACAGCCTCAGGAGTGCTGCGTGAAAGCATATGTCCTTGGTAAGGACCTTTCAACTTGAAGCATTTCTTTAAGTGTGCTATACTGAGTAGACATCCATACTTCTGTAATTCAGCATGTTGTGGATTAAAAAAGCTTTTAAATTCCAAGTGATGACTCAGTGGAGACACATGGACAGAAAACAAACCAGGCCTCCAAATGCGATCTATCTTACTTTCAATTAAATGTCTGTATAGACAACACCTCCTCTTGTAAGACCATTTAAGACTGACAGTAAACATCCCACCTTCTCGAGAATTTATTTTCACTCCTCTGTGTTGGTCAGGAACAAATCTCAAAATGAGAACTGATTTGGCTCGAAGCTCAGCGCACAGGTGGCGATCTAAATTTGGGATTTCCGCCAGTAGTAGACTCTTTTTTTTTTCTTAAGTGGGACTGTTGTATTCAGGAAATCTGTGAGCAAACAGTTGTGATTTTCATTTGCTGTTGCAGGAAACTCCACGTCACATGACAAACTAAACAATGCTGAGTGTAAGCACCACTTGACCAAAGCTGCTAACTGCTTTTTGAGTTTTGTTTCATCTCTGCAGTTATTTAGATGCCAGACACTTGGAACACTTAGAAGATAATTTATGACATGGCATGAATAATCCAAATCAATCTTTTTTCAAGATCCAAATACATGAACCACCACAGTTATTGTGGATTATGCAAATTACACACACAAAGTACTCAAACTGGACCTTCTTGCAGTGCTAACCACCACACGATCATGCCACCAGATATAAACAGAGAGATGTGTACACCACATTTATTTTGTATAAGTGAAAGTGAACTAATACACATTTGGTTTTGTTTTTAAATTAAAGTAAGGAATTTATATATGAAAAGTTTCTGAGGGAGTTAGGAGTTAGCTATTTAAAAAAAAAAGTTGTTGAGATTTTGCTCTATTTTATCTTAAGATATTCAAGTGACATCGTCCAGTGCTTAGTAGCCAAGCCAGTGATTCTCAAATAGGGGAGGTGGAGCATGGATGATCTGGGGGGAAATATTTAGTGGAACCCAGTTAAATGTATGTCATTTTTATAGAGGAAAATATAAAAAAATGCTTGTACTGATGATTATTTGAATGAAATTTTAATTTAATTTAATAATGCGATACTTTATTAAACCTCTTGAATTAAAGCTGAAGTCTTCATTATAATCCACTATGGTGGTATAAAAAGGTCAAATTCATGAGCTATGACTCTTTTCTACCAGTATTTAGGAAATCATTTTCAAATTAAATACCTACAAGCAGATTATCAGGAAATTAAAAGACATTTTAGAACCTTATTCTTCAACGACCCTTTTATTGACCTATAGGAAAACTGGTCTTCTGTGCAAAATGTTTGAGGCATTTTCGCTACGAATGCATCAATTCGATATTTGGATCAGATATTGCTCTGATCCCGAAACAGATATTGTTGCCAGCAAGCCGATCTAGTCAGCTCAGTTCTATGTTAGTTTTTGTTCAGCATACCATACAGGAGAGCTAATACAGCAAAGGCGAAGCTAACTGTAAAGCAACACCACCTCAGAGGCGTTTCAGACCGGCTACGCCAACAGCTTTTTCATTTCATGTTTACATAACTTTTACTTAACCACAAGCTGTGGTCTAGTTGACACAACTGAAACTCACCTTACTCTGCTAATAATTTATCAGAGAGTTATATATGTTAGAAGGTAGAAGGATGCTGGTTCAACATAACACCTGTCGAGAACCTTTGATTACCCGCACAGTAATTCTGTGATGCAGTTAAATATTGTTTCACTTCAGCAGAATAGAAGAGACTCATGCACTACTAATACTGGATGCTTTTGTGGGCTACACAGTGGGACAGTGGGTAGTAGGGGTGAGCGATGTAGCCTCCAAATTATATCGTATATATCAAGAAAATCTAAATAATATTTAGATTATTTATATATAATATTCAATATTTTATTGTTGCTATATACCTGACCAGAACAAGATCACACACACAACTTACCACGTTGAAGTCAAGGCTCTTTTCCACCCAGTCAGTAGCAGCATCAAACTCTTCAAACATCTCCATGATGTAGAGGGTATCCAAAGCATCCACTATTGTCGCTCCTTTTATACTTCCTAGAAGGAACACAGAACAAAAGGTTAAAAACAGATTACCCACTCACGCAGGCTTTTGTCTGTTACATATAGCACCCGGTTTAAAAAAAACAGAGGAATATCAGACAGCAAGCTGGTAACAAAAGTTCTCAAGCTGAACTTTTAAAATGAGCAAAAACTCCTGTGAAGTTCTTTCAAAATGTTAAAAGCTTGTTAGTCAGCAAACCATTTCTTTTATAGCAGGGATGACAACAGGTGTTGGCGCCACACTCACTAGAAAAGCGGTGAATAAACAGCAGAAGCTGGAAGTTATGTATGGAGGTTGAATAAATTAATTTTGCTCGACAGATGGTGAGAGGTAGCGATTATCGGCACTGATGAAACGGCAGGAGTATTGCTTATCTCCAGTGATTAGCCTCATAGCAGGAGGGAAGACACACAGAGAGACACAAACCATAATTTCAGCACCGTCATTATCCAAGCTCCCCCACCCAACAATCCCAACACCTCAATAAATCATCATGCATGCAGAGTAGCGCCTTGAGTAAAGCTTTTAGTTCCTGCATACTTGCTATAAACACCAGATAGGAGTTACAGTATCTGACCACTTAAAGGTGAGAAAGAAAAGGCAAAGGATGGGAGAGAAACAGGAGAAACAAAAACACCAGCGCATCAGCATCAGGAGGCTGACCTACAGAGAGAAGGGCAGGGAGTGAAGGTAGAAAGAAAAGCAGCGAGAGCGGAGAACATACTGAAATAATAATAAGGACAGTCCAAGTCATTAAAGCAAGTTTGAAAAAGATGCGGCTGCAGAGTGGCTCGAGTTAAGATGGAAACCAGAGAGGGCGGCTGGTTTGTTTTTTGTGTGGATCTGTTGGTTTATGTTCCTCTGTGAGTGGTGGGAAGATTCAAAAGCGGCTAAAAGCTTTCCATTAGACACATCGCTGAATCATCAGCCCGAGGCACAGAGACACTGTTGTCCATCACAACTACTGTGCTCACTCCCTAGAAATATCTATTATTTCTTTAGAGTCATCACAGTGAGAAACTATTTTGCACTGTTTCCAGTTGTAAAAAGGTTTATAATTACACATCTCAGATACATATGTGAATAACAATAAGCACATTCATTACCAGATAATACCAAAGCTCTTTGTCGTTAATACCCACATTTTGGTGTCAACTAAAGAGGTTTTGGAGATTCACTAGGACGTGACCAGAATAATATTTCAAAATTTTTTGTCTATATAATACCAAACAACCAATAAGGGGGAAAAAGGACAAAAAGTATTGGGCCTCTCCTCTGAATCTTTGAATTCAAGTGATTTAGGGTTGTCGAGTAATAGTCCACAGACTCTGGAATTAACATCAGCACAAAAACTGTGCACTGGGAGCTTCATGGCCTCTGCAGAAACCAATGCCATTAAAAGACTTAATTCAATTTTCAATATATGAAATGTTAAGGGTAGAATTTACCAGTATTTTTTATTTTTTTCTATACAGTCTATAACTGTACAAAGTTGCACAATTGATGACATTAGCAAATGTGCATTAGTTACATGAATCATCTACAGATCCCGAGTTGGAAAATTAAATCAAAATCTGAGACACAACACACGCAACAAAAACGTAGAATAGCTCAATAAAATATAAAGGAGGTATTGATGAGACAAGACAGCTCAGTAAAGTAGAAATTACACAGTAAATGAAATTTTTAAAAGAATGAGTTAGAAAACTAAATAGAATAAAGTTTAAAACATGTTTTTAAAAAAATGGGAAAAAATGAAATAAAGGTGTTCTGTAAATGTTAAATGGACTGGTTTTTACATAGTGTTTCTCTACTCGAGCGCTCAAAGCACTTTATACATCACGCCTCATTCACACATTCACACCCATTCATACAGGCACTTTTTCTTCGGGTAAGTGCTTTCCATTCTATCACACTCTGATGAATGCATCAGAGAGCAACTTGGGGTTCAGTATGCTACCCAAAGATACTCTGGCATACAGACAGGTGCATACAGGGATCAAACCATCAACCATCCAATTAGTAGATGACCTGCTCTGCCTGAGCTACAGCCTCCCCTGCGGCCACAATTTGCCAAAGTTTGATGATTTAAATTAACCAATATAAAACTAACTAATCTGAGATGAATAGCCTTTAAATTGACTGAAAGGAGCATTCAAGAAGCTTAACTATAACGTGAGGGTACTGGTTTTGTGACCAATTTGTCCTAAATGGCTGCATCTGCTAGATGTTTGTGGACCGATTCAAATAATGAGATATCAAACACTAAAGGAATACCCCCAGGCTTGAGTATCAATCACAGGATCTTAGGCTGCAGTTACACTGCAGACAGACGAGAGTAGGGTGATCAGATATCCACAAACTAAATGTAGGACACGTTACTACTGCGGAAAACTAGTCTGAGAATTTGTTCACAAGCACAGATCTCTGGTACCCCATACAGGCAAATTGCAGTAGGCATTAAGAATGTCTTCTCACACTCATGTATTCCTTTTTTCATCTTAATAACTGAGGTAATCGTCTCTAGGTTTCAGTAAGGGTGCACAGATAGGTTGGTACATCTCGTTTTTTAGATTTGCCACCTTTGTTTTTTTTGAGTGAGAGAGAGAGAAATTCTCATATAATATAAGGACTCAAGTCACAATTCTCCGCAGTGGAAAATGGAAAGAAAAGGAAAAAAACAACAACTGTATTCACCAAGTTATAAGCTGTTTCATCAGCTTTAATGTTGCAGTATTTCCTTTTCTCTATCAAGTTTTATTGTCGTCTTCTAGTAAAATGCATAGACTCACAATTTTTTTCCATTTGGGCGTTGCACGAGCAGCAAAAGACGGCGACATGTTAACCTCTGCTTGACCCATGATAACAGTTTTCCCTTCTTCCCTCACATCCATCGCATTAAAGCCAGACTTCCTGCAGTTGGAAACCAGATCCAATAAAAATGTGGGATGATGCTGTGCAGTCCCACATAAAGAGATTAAGACGAACAGTGGCAGAAAAATCGGCATTTAAGCATTAAAATGATCAGAAATGGGACAAAAATCCAACTTATAATGAGAGATTAACACTAAAGCAATACTGATGTCTTATGGTCATCTGTTTTTAATGTTTTTTCAAACTCTTACTCCAGTAATAAAGGAAGCATGTAACTGGAAGTGTCAGCAGATACAGTTACTGTTGTAGTCACTTGTCCTTCCTGTTTTTCATCCATCTCACATTTTCTGTTCACTGAAGCCTTCAGAGCAACAAAGAGAGGACGAGACACTTTCCTGCCGTCCATTGTCCTGTCGCTGTGCTTCCTCTCCCCTCACTGATCTTATATCTGCCTCTGTGTGTGTGTGTGTGTGTGTGTGTGTGTGTGTGTGTGTGTGTGTGTGAGATGTGAGAGATACAGATGGCAAAACAGTGCCCAGAATACTAATGCCACATACGAAAACACTGAAACGGAAAGTATTTGTGAGGAACGTAATGGTTTCTAGACTTTCTAGTGACTGCCAGTGGTTACCCTGTCCTGGGTGTACTCCACCCCATCACTCCCAAAAAGTCCTTTATTGTATATAAGGTCGATCATGCTCACGCTTGAAGTCCCCTCCAAAGGTTTCAAGTGTGAGCATGATCAACCTTATATAAAATAACAGACTGCTTTCTGAGCGCAGATAAACCCTGCAAATGCCAACATACATAGCTGGCAGGTTGATCAGTAATAAAAAATAGCAGCTAGCTACGACCTTGCGTTCCTGCTCATTGATTGATGCCTCATAAAATGAAGAACACTTGTCTTTTTGTCCTTTCCAGAGAATGCACCGATGTATTGGGGCTTTAAGATCTGTGATGTTAGTTTGACAGCTTGTGCAGGGTCACAATGCCAAGAATCTGCTAAAATCAGCTCCCCCTTCTCTCCCTTTCCTTTATTAGATCCAGAATTTGTGTCAATGTCCAGATGGGATTTCACACACACACACACAGAAAAAAAAGCCGTGATGAGATCCGGCGGAGGTCTGTGAGGTTGAGAAAACAAAGTCTGATGATCTTGGAGGTGATGTGTGCGCTGCTGAGGATTTTGTTTCTGGTAGCGACTGTGCACATAGTAAGGAAGCAGATGGCTCAGCAGAGGGCAGAGTCTTTGATGCCTCTGTAAAACATGAGTGGTAGTGGAGGAGGAGGAGAACCACAGCGATGCTGCTATAAAGATGGAGCTGTATAGGGGGAGGGCAGGCCTTCTGATATTCGCTGTAGGCAGTGGGCTTGTCGCCATGGGGGAATTCTTACATTAGTCAAAATTTCTCTCCACGTATCCACAAATAGTTCTGGGCTCGTTGCTGTTATTGCCCACAGCAACAAGCTAAGTCTGCATGCAAGTTTGCAGATACACAGAAAAATGCTGCATACAAACATGTCAAGTATTTTATTGGTGAAGGCTCTTTTCAGCACCGTCTCTCGGTGTCTTTGTCTCCTTAACTTATCTTTTATATTTACTCTATTGCTTCTGTTTATTTTTGTGGTTATCACGTCTGCCTTCTGGCTTTAGCTTGAAACTGATATCTGCATGTCAAGGTGAAAAGGATAAAGATGGATTTATTTGACGAAAGTTATATGTTGAACTTTTTATCCCCTTTGGGATAAAAGGGACAGGAAGGGGAACAAGACTAAATGTATGCAGCACAACTCCACACATTATTCTACATGGATTTATTTGCATTTGCAAATGGACTGTCCACGCTTTGTTGAGAGATTCGAGTTAGGCGAGCGGTACTCTCTGGAACAGAAAAATTAAACCAACATTTCCAAAACCTGCGTTTTAAAGGTGTTTAGTCTAGCGTTTTACCACAGGAGTTCATGGGGATTGATTCTGTTTTGGAAAAAGCCATAATGGGATTTAGAATAACTGCAACACTGGCTTTATTTTCCACTTCCAGAAGGTTGCTGCTGTTTCTAAAGGTCAAAAGCTGCAGTTTTTCTAATGACCACTTGAGGCAGGCTCTAAAAGTAAGTC